ATATATATATATATATATATATATATATATATATATATATATATATATATATGTATATATATGCTATACCTTTATTTTGTTATTTAGCCTCTAATCTCTTCATAATTTCGGTATGGTTTAGTGACTAATGAGGACCCCGTTTGTGCCAGCTTTTCGATATAGTTTTGGTGAGGATATGCTCTCTTCTGTTAGTCTCTAATCTCTTCTTTCTAGCTAATTTAGGTATGGTTTAACTGAAGATATCGTTTGTGCCAGCTTTTTCTTCTTTTGCTTTAGTTAATTTCGGAATTTGAACTTTGTTTTTAATGTAAAAAGTGGTTCCTTGTACTTCATTTCTTTTCTATATAACAGATATTATGAGAAGTTAACAAAATGCTACTATTAGTATTGACCACCCGCAACAGAAAGAAGTTCCATATCCTAAAATAGAAAGAAACGATAAAATTGAAGGGAATAATTTCGGGCAAAGATCACTTTTAGTTCCCAATAATTATTTCGTTTTGCAAGTTTATGTATGAAATAAAGCGAGTATCAATTCAGTCACCTAACATCGTCCTCCTTTTCACACAAGAAAAAAGTGATTTTCCTATTTTGTATCAATTTTTCATTACGACTGATAGTATATAGCGCTAATAAATACTGCAAACAACAAATTTCATTAACTTTCGAAATGCTAAACTTTCGAAACCGCAAAATTTCGAAGCTGTAAACATTATATTTCTAAACCCGTAAACTTTCGAACACACCCCAGATGTAGATCAGTTTTTCCACAGACCGCATTGAATATTAAAACAAAAAATTGGAAAAGCTATCTGGCCAAATTATTCCAAAGGAATATGGTTTTTGTTAGATTAGTTAGTGTTGACGGCTTAGCTTTTGGGAGGAGGAAGCGTGCCTCTCATTAGAAAATTAAAAGAAGATACAATAGATGTATTTTAAAATATTTTTTGGAGGGAAACTAAAGTATGACTATATTATTAATTGTCCAGATTCAGTTATCTTGTTTAATCAATATTTATTTAATTATAAGTATTTTTATGTCACGACCCAAAACTACCATATTGTGATGGCGCCTAACGTGGTACAAAGCAAGCCGACACTTCAAAATACTTCCAATACTTTTAAATAAAAAATAAGAATGACTCAAGTTTAAATCATCGAAATTCTCAAAAACTGGATAGAAAGTCAAACCCACTACGGAAATTCCCAATACCGGAGTGTCACTGAGTACATGAGCATCTATACAACATAAGTCTAGAAGTAATGTCTATGAAAGACTAAAACTAAATACATAAAATGGAAAGATAGGGAAGGAGAGACAAGGTATGCGAAAGCCGGGCAGCTACCTTGGAATCTCCAACAATCAAGCTGCGCAAGGAAATCAACACTCATTGTGACCAGAAGCACCTGGATCTGCACAGGAAGTGCCGGGTGTAGCGTGAGTACAATTAACTCAGTAAGTAACAAGACTAAATAGTGGACTGAAAGTAGTAAGGAGCTTCACATATATAGCTAAATTACATAAATTTCAACATAGGAAGGTAGGCATGCTTTCAAGTTCGACAATTAAGGCCAAAACAATTAATTCATGACAAGTTCAATTGAAACAAGATATAATATCCCTTAGAAATTACATGACAGTGATATATGCCAGCTGAAGTGCAACAGTAACGAAATCAAGTGTATAATCTCAGAGCAACAGTCCCTCAGTCCTCCAATTAACTCCAACCTCATTGTCACTCATTTCCTCACATTCTCTCATTTCTCTCAGTCGCTCGGTACTCGTGCTCGGCACTCGGCGCTAGCACTTAGTAGGTACCTGTGCTCATTGGGGGTGTACAGACTCCAGAGGGGCTCCTTCAACCCAAGCGCTATAACAAGACAACCATGGCATAAATCAATAAAACATGGTGCGGCGTGCAGCCCGATCACATAAATATCCTCACAATCAGGCCTCGGCCTCACTTAGTCATCAACCTGAAATGACGATAATAAGCCCAAACTGAAATGATATAATGCATCAATAATGAACAATAAAGACTCAGATATAATATGCAAGTAAAACTGTTATTAAGTACAAGCAGCTACTAGCAAATAATTTAACATGTAACACGGCCTCTTTGGGTGCCTACGGTAGCAAAAAATTGCCTAAACATGATTTCTAACATGATTTGCACCTCAATTTCTATAACACATGGAGAAAATACTGATAACAACTGATTATTCAACTAGACATTTCAATGGAATTAACCAAGTCACCATTCCTACGGTGCACGCCCACACGCCCGTCACCTAGCATGTGCGTCACCTCAAAGCTAATCACATGACACATAATAGGGGGTTTCATACCCTCATAACCAAATTTAGAACTATTACTTATTTCAATCCATGCAAATCCCTACTCCAACACGCCCTTGCCTCGCGAATCGGCCTCCAGATGCCCCGAATCTAGCCACAAACAATTCGATACAATCAACACGAGACAGAGGAAACAATTCCACAAGAAAAATACTAAGTTATTAATCAAAAGTCAAAAGTCGACTCAAAATCCGGCCCCCGGGACCATGTCTCAAATTTTGATAGAAGTCACAAAACTCAAAAGCCCATTTAACCACGAGTCAAACCATACCAAATTTACCAAAATTTGACACCAAATTATCACCCAAATCACCAAATCCCACTCTCCAAATCCCTAGCATCAAACTCCCAAATTTCACCTTAAATATACACAAACTAGGTGGGAAATTCAATGGGGAAACAAGATTATTGATTAAAAATGAACACAAGTGATTTACCTCAAGAAACCCCTCGAAAACCCTCTCAAAACTCGCCTAATCCCGAGCTTGAATTGTTCAAATGAAGAAAAATAGCGAACCCTTGAATTTAAGCTTCTGTCCAGGGGTTTCGCACCTGCGCTCCACTTGACCGCATATGCGGATTTTCCAT